TTGTCCTCTTCTGGCTTTTCCACTTTAAAAGGACATTGAACTATCATTGCACGCATTTGCATGTAACTTGTGATATAACCCTTGAACACAGAGGCAACAGCTCCCACCCTGCTTATATAATAAGGTTTATTTAATTCACGGTTGAATTTATCAGAATATTTATAGAATAGGCTTTGTTATAGTCAAAAATGTTACTTTAATAACAGCATATAAATGTTGAGGAAGCTTATTTAAGAATGCTGTATTAGAATGTTCGATCATTTATAATGAAGTACTTTTCATAGCTTCTAGTATCTGAATTTCAAAATGCTTATTTTGAGGGGTGTTTGTCCCTGTTTTTTCCTTTTTAGATTGCTTTGAATGTCGTAGGCAAAGGGGATAGTCTGGCATCCTGGGATGGTTGTTTAGATCTGCCAGAACAGACACTGATTCATAAAGACTGTCAAGAACTGATTGGTAAGACAAAAGTACCATTTAGGTTGAACAAGTGGGCAGTTTTGCTGGCAGGCTTTTGGGATTTATTTAGGTGCATTTTTGTCCCATGAATCTCAAGGTGACATACACAGTCCTCCCCTCCTCCATTTTTTCCTCACCACAGCCCTATGCAGCAGATTAGGCTGAGAGAGCAAGACTACTCCAAGTTCATCCTGCAAGCCTCATGGCTGAATAGGGAGTTGAATCTGAGTCTCTCAGCTTCCTAGGCCGACCCTCTAACCACACTGGCCTTCATAGACAACACATTGGTTCAATTTAGTCAGATGCAATGACAACCCATAGTTTAGTACCCTGTGAGCGAACCATGCATTTGCACATACTCTCTTCCCCCCTCAATGGTTGCAGTTCAGTTAGCTATTTCTACTTCAGCACAAACCAATCCAGTAAGCTAGGGTTTGCATTTGCTTTCCAAGGCAGGATTGCAAACCACAGTTTCCCATCATGCAGCTTCCATAATACTGGCTGCGATCCAAAGGGTTGTACATGAGCTTTTACATGGGCTTTTCAGCCCCCATTTCACACCTCAAAAAGATGTCCTTAATGTTAGTGGATCTGTCAGAACAGTGTCTGATACAGTCCAAGAAACACAGCTAGAAAATACAATTGGCAGAACTCTTGAATGGATGTGAAGGTAGTGTCAGTGCATGCAAGGGGTTGCCATGCTGTTTTAGCACAGCACTATGGTTGCCATGCTGTTTTAGTACAGCACTATGGCAGCAGCATTTGTGAAGTACTTATTTTATTTATTTATTTTTATTTATTTATAATTCCAATTTATAGCCCTCCCTCCCTGCAATGTAGGCTCAGGGCGGCTCACAATTAGACATACGCCACACATAAAACAGTTAAAACCATAAAACATTTGTTACAAAATTACAAAAATTACAGAAACATATTAAGTGCTCTAGATGTTCTAAACAAGATGTTCTAAACAAAAATTACAGAAACATATTAAGTGCTCTAGATGTTCTAAACATCAAGAGGGTGTATCTAAGATGGTATATCTAATCTCTATCTAAGATGGTATATCTAATCAGTGCCGACCCTCTAACCACACTGCAAAACCCTGTTTGCAAACCCTGTTTCTGAGGTTTTCATTCTACTTGGTAGCATAAGTGAAATAAGTAATGATTATAAGTGAAATAAGTAATGATTATCTTGATTACAGTATACTTACAATGTTTATTTTCAGATCAGTTGGCAATGCCAGAGGAGGAGAAATCAGCATTACTTCTGGATGTAGAATCTGTGGCTACCTTTTACTGTAAATCTCGTAATGTTAAATACAGTTCTAGTCTTAGTTGGACATATCTGCTTAAACCACTGGTGCATCTTCAACTTCCACGATGTGACTTGTACAACTGTTTCTATGCTATCATGAATAAGTACATCCCCAGGTAAAAAATAATAATACTCCATTTACATTGTATTTGGTATAAAATGTGATTTCTTCCCCTCCATACTCTTCCAAGTAGAGAAGCTTTTCTGTTTTTGAAGAACAGGGTAACATCCTCTCATCAGTATTGTGTTGTGCTTTCTGTTGTCACAAGAGTAAGATTATATTGAAACAAAGCTGCTGAATTCACATGACTCTTTTATCACAAGTGTGTGTGTGAGAGAGAGATTTAAGTGACATATTTACCTAGTTGAAATGATTGCATATCATTATCAATGTGGCCATTTTCACAAATACTCTCTCACGGCTCTTTTCTTCTAGGGACTGTTTTCTGAAAGGGAGACCATTTCATCTCTTTAGGCTGCTCCTCCAGTATCATGAGCCTGAACTCTGCTCCTTTCTTGACACCAAAAAGATAACACCCGACTCGTACACACTCAACTGGGTAATAAAGTGAAAGTAGGGAAACATAATGAAAAATAAACTTCTGTAGTAATATGTAAATATTGACAAAAATGTATTCATAGCTTGTGAGGGCATTATATTCCCATAAAATTTTCTATATTGAATGTTGTGCCTTTAATGTCTTGCAACAAATGAAATGTTTTATAGAATTTGCTCATATTTCATTTTATTAAGTAGAAGTTGCAGAATAGTCATACCTAAGACAAACCTGATTAACTGCTGTTGGATATCCCAGGGAACCTTTGAAATTAATGGCATTTCCCAGGGTTCCTAGAGGCAATGGTATGGTGGCTGTTTGCAAAGTAGATGTGTTCTAACAGTACAACTCAACTCTCTGTAATTTTGCTTTACCTTTTTTTTCATCTGAGCTATTTGACATGCCAGACATATTTGATGATTAATTTTTTTAATGACAAGGTTAAAATGGGCAAATAATTGATCTTGGTCTTCCATGCTTCCTATAAGGCAGATCCGATTTCATCAGGCTATTTTTTTTCTTTATTAAAAATTAAAACGTTTTCTTGTTGGGGGACGCCCCTCCCCATGCAGAAACACCTGCTTTCTTCTGCTACCCTAGTGAACGGTATTTAATAGAGAGAATCTGTTGGGAGCCTTTTGTCCCACAAAAGAACACGTTTTGCAGTACAGGCATTCACAGAATGCAGCACACTGAATGTGCGAAAGTAGCATTGCAGTTAAAGGGGCCAGCATCCAAGTATATGGGTTTAGAGTTAGATTAGAGGAAGAAAACAGTCTGTATGAAAGTAAGATTTCTTGGCATGTGAGAAAAAATGGATAAGCCTTCTGATTCAGAAAAAAGTATTGAATCTTATATTGAAGATCAGTATGCTATAGTCATATACATAGATTACCTTTTTTTGGCATGAAGTTCTTACCAGTCTTCCCACTCAGAGTCAAAATGGATATCAATTATTCTACTAAGTCTCCCACAGTAAATATACCTTATTTATCCAGCCATCTAGGCTTTCAGTCATTTGCTTGAAAAGAAATCTTTCTGACCGACATATACAGATTCCAGTGGGATTTTAAGTCTGGCTAACCAGCCTATATAAATAGATATCAAAGTCTTTAATCCCTATATTATCAACAAATTTATGCTACTGCAATCATGCTTGGCTTTCTTTTCATTCTCCTCTTTCCAGCTTGGCAGCTTATTTTCCTGCTACTGTTCATATGAAGTCACTCAGGCAATATGGGATGGCTACCTCCAGCTAGCGGATCCATTCTTCATTTATTTCCTAATGCTTATCATCCTTGTTAATGCAAAGTAAGTATATAATTAGCATGTGATGCAACGTATTCTGTGTTTTTTTTAATGTTGCTGCTTCATTTATTCAATATATCCATGTCTCTTTCCAGAGAAGTGATCTTAGGACAAGAATCAAATAGCAAAGAGGAAGTCGTTCGTAAGTTGATGCTTATTATGTTGATACTGTCTTTCAGTACAGTATAGTCAATGTTAAATACTAGAAAGTCCCACTGATACAGGTGGAAGGGTTCAACAGGTATTTAATTCTCTCCCATTGCCATGTACAGGACTTTAAAAGCCTTTTAACTGTGTTTCTAAAAAAAATCTGTTGTTCTGTGTGGAACCCCTGAGACCTTTTGCAGTCCCATTTGGTTGCAGTTCCAGTTCTGTATTCTGTAAGTTTTATTTCCATGAGATTCAGGGATCTCACTCACTACTTTGCACTCTTCTTTTTGGTGAGCCTTCTTTGCTTCAAGCCCAGAAGAATATTTTGCTTGTAACTTTTCATGAGTACATGCTCTGGGAAAACCTCGGCACCTGCCTTTGCCTCTTTCTTGCTACTTTTGCAAAGCACAGCAAGGCAAATTCCCTATTTTACACAAACGTCTGGCCTTTAGCATTGAGTATATAAAGTATCCCAAATAAAGATAATTCCAGCTGTAAGGTAAACCCTGTTTGCAGTGTTTTGTTTACATGTCCAACATCCTAATTTCCTTATGTTACTTGCTTTCAGAATTTCTAGAAAGATCCCCTGCCAGTTTGGAGTCAGAAGATATAGAAGACCTTTTCTCTTTGGCACAATATTACTGTAGCAAAACTCCAGCTTCTTTCCGAAAGGTAACAGTCAAATGCTTGGGAACTTTTCTGTGGGTGCAAGATCATACAAGTGCTCCTGGGGCCCTTCCATATTATATGAAAAACAGTGAGTGCTGTCCACAGCAAAAAACATTTGGAGTAAATTTATTTATTAGTGTTTTTAGTCACCAGTTACCCAAAAGGTCTTCTCTTCTAGAAGACCCCATAACAAGACCTAACCTTTACAAACTTCTAACAGGAGTGAAAAAATTGTTGCTGAAAAGTGAAGGGAAAAAAGGACTGATCTCTAAATTGCATCATATTCTATAAGACGAAAATGAAATGAAAATCCTGAGCTATCAAAGCGCCTGACAGAAATACATCCAGAGCCCTCTACTCCCTACCTAATGGGAGTCCATATGGCATACGCACGTTAAAATATCACCCTGCCAGGCGATTCAAGAATCTGCTTTCAAAGTGCTCCACAGATGGTATTTAACTCCTGCAGAACTTTCAAAAATTTACCCTCAGTTTTCGCCACTTTGCTGGAAGCAATGTGGTGACAAAGCCACATTTTTTCACACCTGGTGGCAGTGCCCAGCTATCTTTCAGTTTTGGGCTCAAATTTCAGAACAAATTCAAACGATCACTGGTCATTCTTTACCTCTGGATCCAGCTCTGTTCCTGCTCCAGCTTTGGCCGAAAGACAGCCCACCTCCTATGGAAAAGAAACTGATTAATTTGCTGATAGGTAAAGGTAAAGGTTCTTAGAGAAAATTCATATGATCACCAGCAAAGACTGTGACACCAATGAGTTAGCCAGCCCTCTGGATATTTGGTTCCCTGTCTTAGACACTCTAGGCTATAGTAAAATGAATTTAGGAAGTGCCAATGTAGTCAAATTCAATCTCCTGAGATATGGCTAAGGTCAGTCCTTAGTAATGTGAAAGTCAAAGGTGTTTTTTAGTAATAGGGTGCCTAATACATGCTGCTAAGAGAGCCAGTTTGGTGTAGTGGTTAAGTGCGCGGACTCTAATCTGGGAGAACTAGGTTTGATTTCCCACTCCTCCACTTGCACCTGGCTGGATGACCTTGGGCAAGCCATAACTCTGGCACAGCTGTTCTTGAAAAAGAGCAGTTTCTGTCAGTTCTCTCAGCCCCGCCTACCTCACAGGGTGTCTGTTGTGGGAAGGGGAAGGGGAAGGAATTTGTAAGCCGCTCTGAGACACCTTTGGGTAGTGAAGGGCGGGGTATAAATCCAATCTCTTCTTCTTCTCTTCTTCTAAGTATAAACCGAGGTGCTCAAGCTTACATGAGAAAATTCCAGTGCACAGAGGTTGTGTTAATCGATGAGTAGGATGTTATGTTGATGTTTTAAAATCTACCCTTTTATCTCCTCTTGTAACCTACTGGAATAATATTCTTTGGCTTACTTCTTTCTTAAATACAATAAAAATTTTAGGGTCTTGTGGCGACTTACAACAGTAAAACCAATAAGGTAAAAAAAATACAAAACAAATAACAATTGTAAAATATTAACATTAAAATATTAAAACACTACAATATTAAAATATGTGGCTATCACCATACCACTACTAAAACAGCCCAAACACGTGGTTTCCCTCCAAAGGCCAACCTAAATAATTGAGTTTTGCATGCCCTGCAGAAACTAAACAAGTCTAGCAGGGCACTGGTGTCATCCAAGAGTGCATTCTTTAGAGTAGGAGCTACAACTGAGAAGGCCCTTGCCCTGGTGGCCAGGCACCTGCAAGAGACTCCTAGACGACCGAAGGGAGTGTGGGGGGTTATAACGGGAGAGGTAGTCCCATAGGCATGAGGATCCCAGACAATGCTCCCTCTAAGCTGTGGAGTCTTGTGAGTAAAAATTCTACTTTGTAAGCTATTGGCATTAAAGTTGTGAGTGAGCGATTTGGCTACTGCATAAATTAGTTTGCTCTGGAGCCATCCTTTCTGAGCTAAGAAAAAAAGTGTGAGCCGGAGGCTAAAAACCTGTGAGCTAGCTCACACTAACGCAGCTTAGAGGGAACACTGGTCCCAGTCCATTAAGGGCTTTCAGGGGCCTTTTACCATTTCTTCTTATTTGCCACTTTTCACTGAGCATAACACGGAAATCTCCCATCTGAAGCCAATTCATTTCGCATGCCATTCAGTATCTAAAATTAGGGTGATTTTTGGTTGGTAGGTGGTTAGGTCACTTTTCCAATGTTCCCTGAGGGGAACAGCCAGATAATATTTTTATTTGGGCCAAATTTTATTTGTGAAGGATAATGCATCACAGTAGGATCCAGAAACAGTAATGTGAGGACAGGATCCAGAAACAATAATGTGTTGTGGCAAATCGTAGCAACTTTCCTCTTGCTATTCCCATTGGGAGTGACATTCCAGGAACAGGAGTAAGCCCTGCACATGGTACTGCTTGTGCTACTTGCTGGCTTGGAAGTACGGATTGTGGCTAAACACGTGAAATCTAGATACCTGATAAATTGGATAGGGGTGAAGAGGAAGGAAATGTGTTGCATTTCCCATCTTCCTCCTTGCCCATAACTCTTATTTGCCAGGGATGCTACTAAGGCAGACTGGGAAGTGAGGCAGGGTGAAAGAAGTAGGGTTGCCAAGTCCGATTGTCCTGGCAGCAGGGGATGTGAGGGAGCCATCCAGGAGTATGGGGAGGTGGGGTGACGTCACAGTGCATGATGTGGCCATCGCAGTGATGTTACATGGAAGTGATGTCCTAATAGCAATGATGTCGCACATTGATGCACTAGCATTTTGGCTGAAACTCTTTGGTTACCATGGAGTTTTTGGCCTAAATGCTAGAATGTCGACACTTGACACGGCATGATGCCATCAATTCCATGTGACGTCATCGCGATGACCATGTTGACACGTGATGGGCCTCTTCGGGGGTGGGGCTTTCCCACCAGCCAGCTGGCTGACAGTGGATTGGAGCCCCAATTATTTTATTTATTTATTTATTTTATTTCATTTATACCCCGCCCTCCCCGCATTGCGGGCTCAGGGCGGCTTACAACCATAAAGCACAAAGTGCAATAAAATACAATAAAACAGTTTAAAACAATTTACACATGGGCCACGCCCAAGGATCCCGCGTGACTAAACCCTCTCTCCATTGCACATACCCTTTCCATTCCAGGGGAGGTTGCTGTGGCCCCCTGATGTTCATTGCCACTCAACCTCCGGCGGTGCTGTAAACGGTCCTCATTGGTGGTGGTGGTAACAGCGGCGGCTCCTATTCAAAAGCCTGGCGGAAGAGCTCTGTCTTGCAGGCCCTGCGGAACTGCAACAAGTCCCGCAGGGCCCTGATCTCCTCCGGGAGCTCATTCCACCAGATAGGAGCCGCCACCGAAAAGGACCTAGCCTTAGTGGCAACAAGCCTGGCCTCTTTCGGGCCCGGGATCGCCAAACGATGTAGCGACCCCGACCGAAGTGCTCTTTGGGATCTATGTGGGGCAAGGCGGTCCCTCAGGTATGCTGGACCCAGGCCATGTAGGGCTTTAAAGGTAACGACCAGCACTTTGAAGCGAATCCGGTATGCTATAGGCAGCCAGTGCAGCGCTTTGAGCACAGGCTGGATGTGGTCCCATTTCGAGACACCAGCAACCAGCCTGGCCGCCGCATTCTGCACTAGCTGCAGCCTCCGAATCAGCGACAAAGGCAGCCCCATGTAGAGAGCGTTGCAGTAGTCTAGCCTTGAGGTGACCGTCGCATGGACCACTGTGGCTAGGTCTTCACGGCTGAGAAAGGGAACCAACTGCCGCACCAGCCGAAGATGGTTAAAGGCCGCTTTGGCAGTGGCTACCTGCTACCAGTGGCTGCTACCTGGGCCTCCATCGATAAGGTGGAGTCCAGGAGCACTCCCAAACTCCTAACCTCCGAAGCTGGCACCAACTTGAAGGAACGCAAAGATTGGGGGATACCCTGGTTGGACCGGTGGTCTGGCAGCCCAAGAAGGAAGGCTGGGTCAGCATACTCTTTCCTCTCAGCTTCATCCTTGTGTGCATGCAAAGAATGAGTTCTGCTCTCCACAAAAGTCATACAAGTTTGCTCAGTATACAAACTTGAACCAAGTATCCACCTTGAACCAAAATGAGGAATATAAATGTTTTAATTAATAAATCAATTTAATAAATTGATAAGAATACTTAGAGAGATCATGGTTGCCTTAATAGTATGTTGTAGGCCCTGCACATCATATGGATCATTTTTGCCATTTGAGACTTTGTTTTGGACATGTGGGTGATCCAACTCTTACTGGCAGTTGAGAGGTTAATTCAGTCTCTTGCATACATAACAAGAACTGTTATGCTTGGACTTTTTATGTTGTTGCCCCACTATTAGGGAACAGCCTCTCAGTGGGAGTGAGGCAAACATCTACTCTTTTGGTGACGGTGCAAGACAGAACTGTTTAAAGCAGGGTATGGGGCAGCTTGAACAGGCTCTGGTTGGATTGTTTTCACTATCTTTTTTAGTTAATTTATTAGATTATTTTTGTATTTATTGTTACCCACCCTGGATCCTTTGTCAGGAAAAAGGTGGAGTATATAAATACTCTAAATAAATAAGTGGGTTCTAGATCAGAGCAAGCCTAAACTCTCCCTAGAAGCTAAAATGACTAGGCTGAGGCTACCGTACTTTGGTCACATTACGAGAAGATAAGAGTCCCTGGAAAAGACAATAATGCTAGGACAAGTGGAAGGCAGCAGGAAGAGAGGAAGACCCAACAGGAGATGGCTTGACTCTGTAAAGGAAGCCACGAGCGCCCTCAGTTTGCAAGACCTGAGCAAGGCTGTTAACGACAGGGCATTTTGGAGGACATTAATTCATAGGGTCATCATAAGTCAGAAGTGACTTGACAGCACAACACACACACAAATAAATAAACCCATGAAGTCTTCAGTAGTTTGGTGTGACATATTTGTTGGACATGTTGCAATTATGATTGCTTGCACAGACTAGAAATATTGTTGATAGTTCTCATTCTGTATCCAAGGTCCCTGTCATTGTCAGTGGTAGTTGCTTGCATACACCTGAGGACATAAGCAAGGTTCATGGGAAAATCTGGGCTGAGCATTTCCCACTTGACTCTTTCAAGAAAATTTGTCTTGCCTGTTCAGTTTGGTGGCTAATGCATCATTCTGTGAGTGTTGCCAAATGTTCACCTTGATAGAAGTGGTCGATAGACCTCTCCTGGGGGACGTGACTTCATCCAAGAGCACCTAAAGCATCTAGACCAGGGGTGGTCAAACTTGCTTCATGTAAGAGCCACATAGACTAAACGTCAGATGTTTGAGATCCACAAGCCGTGAACAAATATCACACACATGTTTTTATTGGAAAATATGCAAATTTGCTTTTTATTAACATTAAATGAGACTGCCAAAAATAAAAACAAATGAGGTAAAAACAGATATCGATAATGATATTTATTTGTCCATTGATATTTATTTGTCTAAGACAGAGAGTGGTGGAAAGAATGAAAGAGAGAGAGAAACAAAGAAAGTAAGTAGATGGGGAGGGGGAGGAAGGAAGGGAGAGAGAAAGAGAAAAAGAAAGGAAGAGCAGGAGAAAGAGAGAGAAAGGTGGAAATAAAGCAATTAGATGGGGAGGGAAGAGGGGGAAAGAGAGAGGTTGAAGGAAAGCAAATACATGGGGAGGGAGGGGGAAGGGAGAGGTGGAAAGAAAACAACTTTAATTTCAGATGTGTTCTCCACCCCCAACACACACACCAGCTGACTTGGCTTGGAAAAGTGTTTTGTTGTTTGTTTTGGCTCAGTCACATTTTTATATGTTTTTAATGTATAATTGTAAGAGGTTTTTACAGGAGTGTTCTGTGCAAAGTTTTGCAATTGGTAGCAGAAAATTGGTCTAAAAATCCCATAAATAAATCATTTCAGAAATCTGAACTTTCACAAATATGTATTGCCATATTAATTTTACGGTTAATTCGCTGCATCACTGAGGTAATAATGAAACTATACTTGAGAGCTTCTTTACTACCACAATATAATACAGCACTTGTAGAGGCAGTTTCAGCATGAGTTTCTGCTGCTGAGTCAATTATGCCAAGTTTGACCTTGGCACAGTATACTGAATTAACTCCTTGCCTTTCTGGAGATGCAGCTTTTTCTTTTTGATACTGTGCCTGTGTGGCATTTTTCAACTGCTACTGGTGCCTCTCGCAATTTGGAACACATCCTGGAGCAGCCTGTGCCAAGATTCCAATGATTTTGAAAAGCCATTGATTTGTAGGTTATGTAATAGTTTGCATTGTTCCAGAATTACATTTTAATTTCCAGTGTGCTGCATCCACTTCCACAAAGCAAGAGAAAAATACAGTTGAAAAATACAGTTTTGTACTTGTAATATTCCTCTGGAAGACATAGGAGCTTAAATTTCAAGCTTCCAGGAATATGCATAAATTTTATTCTGTATTTTTGTAATTTTGGTATCCTTTTTGGCAGTACTGTAATATTGATATAAGCCAGGGCAGGTGGGGTCTAATGACCGAAAGCTGTATACATATGAAAGCAAACAGATTGTGATTAGGATTTTATTTCTGTAATTTTATTGTTATAGTCGGCATTGTCTGAATTAATCTATTCTCGGATGAAACAGATAATAAAAATTATGTCCCAGTCTGTATATTTAGATACATCTAATGCTTGGATTGGTAGTATCTTAGTCTTGTCTCGTGACAGACCTATGAAATCCCGTGAAATTTCATGAGTCCGGAGAATCAAGCAGATGTTTTTTCCACTTTACTTTTTAAAATATGAAAGCTGCTATGAACAGGATGTGTTCAAGTAGCCCAGGTGCTACATTAAGTTGTTTAGCAGTGCAATCCTAATAAGAGTCATGGCTCTTCTAAATCCAAGTCAATGGACTTAGAAGCATGTAACTCTGTTTAGGATTGTACTGTAAAGCTAATGCGAATTCTGTGCTACCGTTTCATGCAGTAACTGGAGAAGTTATCTTTTGCAGACCTGGAATAGCCCTACTGTGGGAACAGTTGCCAGATCTCCTAGTGAGCACTGGGGAACTGATGGTAACATTTACCATACCGACTAACCAGGTTTATATGGGGCATGGTAGGGCTTTGGTACCTGTGCTGGCAGTGGATTGGATCTGTTACATTTATTTGTCTGTAGATACAGGAATTGTTATTTAAAATAATACAGTCTGCAGGCCACTTTGGAGATGGTTCATGAACTTGGTGTTCATTTTGATGGAGTAGACGAGAACCTATATATGACAGTAATTACACCCAATTCTACAGGAGTTGAGTTTACTCACTGTTCACATTATAAGAGTGAAATTGCTCTTATGAGCTGACTTTTAAAATTTGGATTTCCTGTGGTTCACACAAGTGCATATTAGCCTTATAGGTAAAGGTAAAGGTTTCCCTTGCTCGAAAGCCAGTCAAATCCAACTCTAGGGTTGCGGTGCTCATCTCCGTTTCCAAGCCGAAGAGCCAGTGTTGTCTGAAGACGTTTCCGTGGTCACGTGGCCGGCTTGACTAAATGCCAAGGCACACGGAACGCTGTTACCTTCCCACTGAAGCAGTACCTATTTATCTACTTGCAATTTCTTGCTTTTGAACTGCTAGGTTGGCAGGAGCTGGAACCAGAGATGGGAGCTCACTCTGTCATGCGGCACTCGGGTCTCGAACTTGCTGAACTACCGACCTACCAGTCTGCAGTTCAGCGTCTTAACCACTTAAGCCACCACAGCCTTATAGGAGATCTCAAATAGGGCACAGTTTCCATCTTAGTTTGGAGCCTCCGTAATGGTCATAATTACTGTTTTCTCTTATCAAAACAGGACAACCACAGTATTTTTGGCAGCAGCTTGTTGGGTCTCAAAGACGATGATTCAGACTTGAGCCAAGCTCTGTGTCTAGCAGTTTCTGTATCAGAGATTCTTCAAGCAAATCAGCAGCAAGGGGTTAGTAAGTTTGAAAAACTGGTTTTTCCCAAAATGTGGATAACTGAACAAAATTGCTTAATCAATTGAGAGCTTCTAAGGATCTAGGCAACAAGTTGGCTGTAATGGTGAATTTCATAGCAATAGTTCCAAAATTTAAATTTTTTAAACTTAACAAAAGTATATGACTCTAATTCCAGGATGGAGTAAGGTTCTTTGTGGTGGACTGTCGCCCTGCAGAGCAGTATAATGCTGGACATTTATCAACTGCCTTTCATTTAGATTCAGACTTGGTAAGCATATTGTTTGGTGGGATAATATGCTTGGGTTTTTTCCATTTCTTTAGTGTTTAGAAAAAAGTGGAATGCAAGGATTATCTGAATAAAGTATTAAGAATACTTGGGTTGTGGCTTTTAGTTCATACTACCTTTCTTCAGAAGTGAGCTTTGCTATGACCTGTAATGGATAAAGCTTAATATATGAAATGATTGTAAAACATTCTTTAAACTTGATTGCTATGTCTGTTAGGCAGAAGCTGTCTTGCATTTGGTTTAATGTTTTAAGCATCTCAGTTTGACTGCAAGTGATTATTAATCTCATACCGTTCACGCTGACCTAGCTCTTAGTTGTCTGCTCTTCAAATCGTTCCATAGATGCTCCAGAACCCATCCGAATTTGCCCAGTCTGTGAAATCTCTGTTAGAAGCACAAAAACAGTCTATTGAATCTGGCTCAATAGCTGGTGGAGAGCATCTTTGTTTCATGGGAAGTGGCCGGGAAGAAGAGGATATGTATATGAACATGGTGCTAGCACACTTCTTGCAGGTACATCTAAAACATTAGAACACTGCATTTAAGCATATTTCCTAACTTTTGGAGCAATCCTGAGCATAGCCGTTTGGGATCCTACTCAGTGGTGCTTACTTCCACGAAAGCGTTCTTTGGATTGCACAGTTTGCCCCACAATGTGTAGTCACTAAAGTTCTCATTCTAAGTATACTTGAAAGTTTGGGATGCAAAAAACCTTCCCAATTAGTTTTCATAGAAATTTCTAAATATACTGGGCTGTGCATCCATTCCCACCCTACACGTTTGGCTTAATTGTGAATACTCTTGTCCAAAAAGTTCTTGAAGGTTTTGTGGCTATATGACTGATCAAAAACCTATTCGTTTATTTAGGAAATTTATGCATGAGTGCAAACATGTAATTTTTGTTTCTGGAATTGAAACTCATTGACGTTTGTTGGTATCGCTTGAAATTGGTAAGGCCGATTTCCAAATCAATATGTAGGGGACTGAAATATAGGATTTTCCTCTGGTTTTTCTTCTGCTTTAATCTTGGTAAGTTCTTTAAACTAAATGATGTTCTGTTTTAATCTTGGTAAGTTCTTTAAACTAAAGAACTTGCTTATCTATTACTGCTTGGAATGGTAGATTCAGGTGGGGGTGTGTAGCCGTGCTGGTCTGAAGCGGCAGAACAAAGTTTGAGTCCAATGGCACCTTTAAGACCAACAGAGTTTAATTCAAGGTATAAGCTTTTGTGTGCACACGAAAGTTTATACGCTGAATTAAATTTTGTTGGTCTTAAAGGTGCCACTGGACTCAAACTTTGTTCTGCTGCTTAGAATGGTGGCTGACTTTCTACATCCAATTTTAAAGTCAAATACTAACATTTTACAGAAACTGATGAGTGATGAATTTTATGAGTAGTTCGAGCATTTCACAAAGATACATATTGAATCACTTCTATAGTTTGGTTTCATCCTACAATGTAATTTACATTGTTGAAGAAAAGGTGTCATTAACAGCTTTCAGATTTGTAGAAAAATAATATATGAAAATAAACCATTCTCAACTGTAATTTGAAAAAGGCTCACCATATGTACAACAGCATATTCTGAATACTGCTCTAGGGTCTCATGTTAAGTAGTTTAAGTATAATTATTTTTTATGGAAGATCAGGTACAAAAAATATAATTGTGCTGGGGCCATATATGTTTCATCTTTTTTTGAAATAGGCTTGCTTCTAACACCAAAATGTTAGGATTAACCATAATTTCCCCCCATCTTCTTGTTGCAGAAAAATAAAGAATATGTAAGCATTGCTAAAGGAGGATTTATGGGTGAGATTTGCATCACATTACTTTTTCACATTCAAAATATTTTAAAATGCATTTTGTCCTAGGTATTTCTTAGAATGTGGTAACTGAATGGTTACTATGCAATTACCTTTTTTAAATGTTTGTTTGTGCAGAGATTGCATGACTGTAATGCTTATTCTTGGTACCTTGGCTATAGTAGCAATATGTCATTGCTGAATGATGGAGACTTTAAAGATTCTTTGTTTGTTTCCCCAGTCTCTCTGTATGTTGTGACATAATCTGTATACACTGAACCCTGTATATCTCTGACCCCTTTTTAAAAGTTTCCCCCCTCTCCTATATATCTTCTCTGCCCCTGCCCCAACAGCAGTTTTGGATGGCTTCTCCATTCCCTCTGTTCTGTTTCAAGGATATGTTTTGCACCCAGTTTCTTGAGCCAATTAATCTCTAGCACAAGTAAAAAATGTGCAGCCTTACAGATTCCATGGTTTCAATATTTGTAGTTAAAAAACCTCATTGACCACCTCACAGAACTGGGTACATTTCAAAGAGAGCTAACAAAACTGGAAAAAATTATTAAACTCTACCCCAACTCTCCGAAAGGCATTTTGTCTAAATTATATAATACGATCATCATGCCATATAAAAGCCATTGAGCCATATAAAACTCAAATATCAACACTGCCGGGAAGAAGACCTGAGGGTACAATGGAATGATGCAGACTGGGACACTGTATGGTCTTCACCGGCCAATAGCTCTAACATATTCAATATTCAACTACAATTTTTCAAACTCTACTCTAGATGGTACATAACCCCATATCAATTACAGAAAATAGACTCAAATAACAACCTGCAGTGTTGGAGAGGCTGTGGGCAGGTCGGCACTTATCTACATTGTTGGTGGGAGTGTCCAAGACTCGGCAAATTTTGGGATGAGGTTCGGCAACAGATCAACAATATAACCTTGCATAATCTTAATTTAAAACCTGAGATTCTGTTATTGAACCACTGGGATACCATCATAGACAATAGAAATAAGGAAATAATCTCTCTACTCCTAGCAACAGCTTGCCTGACAATAGCCTCGCGTTGGAAATCCCTGCTGCCATTATCCGCCTGGCATGAAAAAATTTGGGAACAGTTTGTGATGGCAAAAATCACAGATAAAATACATAGAGCACAAACAACCCAGATATCCAATTCCAAATTCGAATCAACATGGTTTCCAATATTTTCATATCTCACAATACATGATATACTACCTGCAAATTTGCAATATCATTAATGGTTAACGTTGTAAAACATTACTATGAAAATCTCTGTTGGGAAAAGACAGTATATGTAACCCTTACTTCTCTAAATCATCAGAACAATAACCTTACGACGAATAGAGGATCTTTATGTTGAAATGTTAAGTTTTACAATACTTTTGACATTGTTTTTCAAGTTTTATTGAGACGCATCTTTATGTTGATGTATCTTTGTTATTGGCAATAGATTGTTACTACTTGTTTCGACAAAATAAAATAATTAAAAAATATTTTTAAAAAAGAAAGAAATGTGCAGCCTTTCTTCCCCTTTAGCAATGCTGGTGGGGTCACAACAACCCATTCTAGGGAAATCTGAACCAATTATGAGTGGGAGAGTCTGCTGACTTCTTCCATTCAGGCAGTTCCAGTCCTTCAGATAGATCCCCACTTTCCCCAAGACTTACATACAAGAGGAAAGGTAGCCCCTGTCATTCTTCTCTTGCCCCAGGAGCAAGAGAATGATGCTGCCACCTGGCTTTAAATATAGCCTCATAGGCAGCACATGCTCTCTTGTAATCCTCACCCCCTGGCAAGAGACTCCTCCCTCACAAGAGGCCAGGAGCCGTCACTTTCTGAGCTGACTCTTCCCCTGCTCCTCGGCTGCAGGGCACCAGGCCAGGAGAGCCCTCCAGGGGCCTCAGCCCCCATGCTGCCAGTATATACTGGGAGACAGGCCAGGTCTCATCCTTGCCAGCTGGTCAGATCTTAGCTGTGGCCCCTCTCTTGATATGCAGGAGTTACTAGCCAGGGGTGAAATTCCCACACCCTCACTGTACTGTCCAGTGTTCCTCCCCACCTTGAGCAAGCATTGAACTATTACTATTTAAAAGTTATGAATTACTATAGCATTGTTAGATTAGAAGTTAATGAACTTCTAAAGGCCTTTCAATCTGTTTGTCTGAATATAATGAACTTCTAAAGGCCTTTCAATCTGGAGTTATGTTTAGCTTTATATATTGCCAAGGAAAAAATAGATGGATACCATATAGAAAGTATTAGCCATCTTCCTGTTCCCGGTGGTTGTTTGGGGGTATGGTTGTTTCCATGAGAACAAGTCCTGCATTAGTGGATATCTTATTATAAGGGTAATGCAGAAGCACCAATGCTGTTCTGACACAAAACATTTTAATGCCCTTTCTCATAGCATTGCAACAACACTTAGCTGATATTAATGTGGAAGGACCTGAGAATGGATATGGCCACTGGATTGCTAGCACTTCAGGCTCAAAAAGTAGTATTAACTCCTTAGCTGAGGTGAGTGTACATTTCCATAAAACGCCGTGACTGTTGAAAGGATTATTTCACATACTCCTACCTCTTGACAATAGAGATATGCAGTTTCTCCACTGGAGTCACCTCCTGTACCATGTGCCTCTCAAGAAACTGGTTTCTGGGGATTTTCACATAACGCTATATATAAACATTGCTTGAGGTTCCTCTTGCCTTTTCCTCCTTCCTTCTATTTAATAAACCATTATTGCATGGCGCCATTGCACCAGTCCCTGTTACATAAAACTGAAGGAATGTCACCTGGTTTTGACTTTCTTGATAATCGGCTAAGAAGTGAAATAAAAATATCGTGACCACAATAGGTTTTCTACAGAAAAACAATTTCCTTAGGCCTAGGTTATGTCACGTAGGTAAACATGACCATACAATGCCAGATTGAATTTCCAGTTACTGTTTTAATCTTAATAATAAAAGAAGTTTATTTTCCAGGTTGATTCTTCTAATGGTTCAAGTGAGGGAAAGGGTGTCAAGTCCTTGGTAAACAAGATGACTGTAGCTTTGAAGACTAAATCTGTGAATGTGAGAGAAAAAGTTATTAGTTTTATTGAAAACACATCAGCTCCTGTAGATAGGTGAGTCATTTTAGTGTAATTGATTTTGATTATTAAAGACTACAATCCTATGTACACTTACTTGAGAACAAGCCCTGTTGATCTCAGTGAGACTTCTAGGCTTGCCAAGCCCCCGCTAGGGGTGGGTAAATTCCCACATGGGAGGCCCGTTACCTGCCCGCGGTGGATCGGGCCCCAGGGGGAACTCCACCCCCTACCGGAGGGCGTCCCCAGCATGATGATGTCACCCGGAGGTGACATCATCACGCTGGCCACATTGTTGGGGGGACACTGTGAATCGAGGGAAAACTCTGTGGTTTTCCCTCGAGTCACGGTGCCCCGCCCCCAACGTGGTCGACGCGATGACGTAACTTCCGGGGCTGTTACCGTGGTGCGCGCGGGCAGGGAGACTCCCAACGAAGCCAGGAATCCACCCGCTTTGCAGGTAAGTCGACTTGGCAACCCTAGAGACTTCATTTTGAATAAATGTGCTGCTATGTTTCTTTATTTGAGATACATTTTGCAAGCATAAATACTAAAGCTAAGGATTAGACGTTAGGAAAAAGTCTAGTATTAATCATAGGCACTTTTTTCTTCAGAGAGTCTGTTATATGCACTGGAATAAATGCCTCATGATCTGAGACTGTCTCTATGAAAAGCTTCTACTTCTTTGTTGGATCCAGCCTAACCCTTCCATGGTAGCAGGGACTTTCTTCCATGGAGCGTGATTCACCTATGGCAGTCTGAGATATCCCCTGAAATTATGTTCTGGAGAGGGTCCAGAAGCGGGGTGTGGGGCAGGAAAATCATGTTCTGTGGACAGAAGAGCTTGCACCCATGGAAATGCTAATCTGGATCCAAGCCTGTGCCTCTTGAAATCTCTGAAGTAGCTTTGTAGGAAATTGCACTTCTTTTAAAAATGGCTCTTAAAAAGCATTTTTTCAAATTATCTTGTGCTTGCTGCCCAGGAATTGGAAAGTCAGCTTGGGACAATCGTTTGTAAATGTGGGGAAAATAAATCAGATATTCTCTCTTATATATTTTAATTATTTTGTTCTATCCTCTGCCCCAATTTGCTATAGAATTTCTTTCAATCTATCCTGGCCTGAGAGAGCAAGTATGCTGCGGTAAGCCACTGTGTAGCACCATCTGGCTGAAGCCACCTTTTTGTCCTTTTTTTAGCATGACTTCACAATGTTTGTAAGCATTGGTTACACTGACAATCTCTCAGATTGTTTTTTTTTAAGGTTTGCGTAACATCAATCTACTAATCATTTCAAGTGTCATCTTGGAAACTAGAGAGGAAGAAGCTGTACACACAGTACTGCCTACTCATTTGTATTTTGCATTTTTCCATTTTCTCCCCACTTCATTGCCTGATCTGAAACGTCTTTCCCCATTCCCACCTCATGAGCATGTTGATTTCTTCTTTTTCATACTTTTAAATCTCGTTTGTGTTAGTAGGAGGCTCACTTAAGGATGCAGTGCTGGGCACAATCACTAAGGAGCAAGTCCTATGGAGTTCATCAGGACTTACTTCTGAGTATACATGCTTAGCATGCTTAGGATTGCCCTGCAAGCAGTTTGGGGGTTTTGAACTTCAGATAAGGTGCAAGGAAGGTAAAATTTTCAAGTTGTTCTCCATAATTTTTTCAGTTAAAATATTTGAATTCTACTTGAGATGCTTTCTGTTGTGATAATGGAAATTCAGCTCCACTTCTGGGAACTGATTTCAACAACTTTACAAACTTGATCATAATAAATCTCAGCAAGGCAAGAAGCTCTCTCTTTTGATCTGAGAAAGAAGGTGATCAAATCTGTGTCCATTCGATGTCCCCCTATAGGAGAGCCTTAGGGATTCAAAATGCATGTGAAAAATAGATGTCTTTTTATTGCATTGACCTTTAGCACTGATCTTCAACAGGGAGGGGTAGATCAATATTATCTGTTGATCTATTGACTGGAAGAAGTGAAGAGTTTTCACACAGTGGGCTCCTCATACTTCCCAAGCAAGTTGTTTAGATGGCTGCCTAGCCCTATGAGAATCAGCGGATTGGATCCAGCACTGGTGTTTCTGCATGTGCAAAGTCTTGTGCAACCAGTTTCTGGGCACTATAATATATAAGGAGCAAAGAAAAGTGTTTTACAAGATCTTGTGGAAGTAGAACTGCATTAAGTAAGTTTATGTTTTTGCTAGCACACCACTGGATCCAAGCCTGGCCTTGTTATTTTACAGGAGCTGGTCCCCTGTGATTCCATGCTCCTTCTGTAAAGTAAAAATATTCCCTTATAGGGTTACAGTCTACCACTATCCTGATTCTGCAGTTCCAGAGATGATGCATTTTGGAAAGGAACTGGGAGGTGGGTGAGGTGATATCCTGAAACAAATCATGAAGCCAAAGATGAAAAAAGCTTGTTTTCATCATGGAGGTGATTAACTCCAAATTTCCAGAATAAATAATGGGTTTTGCCTTGTTGGACAATTTTGATAGTTTTGTAACCTTTTACCTACTGTTTGAACCTTCAGATTTGGAAAGGAGAGCGCTGCTCTAAAATTTATGTGTATGTAAACAAGTTATCCTGTCTATTGATAAATACTGTCTTCTGTTTCATCCTAGTCAGCTTATATACTTTAAATGTGAAGTTTATACTCAGTAGAGATGTGTCATAAACATTTCTAAACATCATGACAGGATTGTATCTGGGGTTTCTCTTCTACTACTAGCTGAGCTTTCTGCCAGCATAAGAAGCCCCTTCCTCCTCAGCAAACTGTGCCACCTGTAAAATGGAATCATTAGATGGAATCCATATTTCTTTGTAAAACAAAGTGTTACTTGACCCACATTTCTAGTGCTAGATGCTCACTAATGCTGGACTTCCCTGTACAATTTCTAATTTGAAGCAATATAGATATGGTCACCAGCATCTAGAAACCACAATCAAAAGAACAAAAGCCCCTTGCACAGTTGCACAGAGTACATGCAGGAGCTGTGTGTAACTAAACTGTGTACATTAATGCTTCAGTAATTAAACTGTGTGTATTGTTCATCTGCACATGGGAAAGGATCTTTGGATATAGCATTGGGAATTGGGGAGAGGTTCTTCCATAAAGCTGATAGTTGCCCTACCTATTTCTGTATCTTGAAGCAGGTATTAAGATTTCTGACAGCAGCTCTGAGTTCCAGCATATGGGAATGACCCATAACAACAATTTCAACCTGAATTTGTAACAAAACGGTTGCATTACATCCACCCTTTTTCCCCCAAGGACCATTGTCCCAGCCATTGAAAAAACAGTAGTGCAACCGTTTTCCATCAATTTACACATTAGATAAATATGCAATAGGTTTCCCCCCCAAATAACTTCTGTTTGCTTTTTTAAAGGCATTTCTGTCCTGCCCCACCAGCAGTTTAAAAGATTACCAGCTTAAGCAATGGTCATAACCATTTTATTAAATTCTCATGGAGCTATTAGCAGTGTTAGCAAAAATTCAGGAAATAGTAATGTGAAATAATGGTTTTGGAGGATCACATTCAGAAGAAATGTTCTATTTATATTAACAGTTATGTAATCTCTGAGGTGTAAGACATGTTTCTGGCACTTTTGCAAATTTATTAATTTTCACTTAAAGCAGTAGCTATATGGCTTCATATATTTTTGTGCCAGAAATGTATCAAATGGGTGTAAAACGTGTATCATGCATGATTCCAGAATACACACTGAGAATAAAATTGTCCAAGCAATCAGACATGTGCACCACTAGGGTTGCCAGCTCTGGGTTGGGAAATACCTGGAGATTTTGGGGGTGGAGCCTGAGGAGGGTGGAGTTTGGGGAGGGGAGGGGCTCAATGGGGTATAATGCCATAGAGTCCACCTTCCAAAGTGGCCATTTTCTCCAAGCAGATTTGTCGCGTGGAGATTACTTGTAATCTCAGATTTCTAGCTGCCACCTGAAGGTTTGCAGAAACAACAGAGAGATCATGGGAAGGATGCAAACAATGATGAAAAACAACCATGATGTAGTATTATGAAAATATATTTAGACTGCTGTATTGCAGTGAGTAGTGTTTCTTCAGCAAGACTAGTGTTTCTTCAGCAAATAACATTAATACATTAATTTACACGTCAACAATTCTAATCTGTGAATTAACACTCAAGCATTCTTCCCACTCCAATGAAACAAGTTCTTTCAGAGCATGGAAAGAATTTGTTTCATTGGAGTGGGAAGAATGTTTGAGTGTTAATTCACAGATTAGAATTGTTGACGTGTAAATTAATGTTATGTGTGTATGCGTACATCTTTATTACTTGCTGAAGAAACGCTACTCACTGCAATACAGCAGTCTAAATATATTTTCATAATACTACATCACAGTTGTTTTTCATCACTGTTTGCCACTTGGAGGTTGGCAACTCTATGCACTACCCATGTTGGGCTGTATAGACACAATACTTAACTCTGATCTACTTTCCTGAACCATTGTTAACTATTAAATATCTAAGCCATGCTTTTAATATGTTTATTGCATATGTACATCACTCAAGGGGACTAACAATATCATCCTAAAATAACGGATTATTTTAAAAACAACATGGTGCTGGAAAGTGCTGACAAGTCACAGTCAATTTATGGTGATCCCAGAGGGTATTCAAGGCAAGAGACATTCAGAGGTGGTGTTCCATTACCTGTCTCTGTGCAGCAATCCTGGACTTCCTTGGTGGTCTCCTGTCCAAGAGCTAACCGTGGCCAACCTTGCTTAGCTTCTGAGATCTGATTAAATCGGGCTATCATGGGCCATCCACCCCCCCCCCCCCCCCCCCTAGACTATTACTACTTTTTAAAACTTATATCAAAACAATAGTGGAAAGACCCTTCTAAAAAGCTCAGGTGCACGTTGCCGAATTATTTCCTAGAAAACTAAATGTATGCTTACCTGACAGGCAGACCATTCTACAATGTAGGGGCACTCACAAAAAATGCATGGTCACCAGCAGCAGCCAGCCTACAAGAGGGGACACAGCAAGTAGGTCTGCAAACCATGGTTTGTGTTAATCTTGATTAAGGCTCGCTTCTCCATCAAACAGTCTGGGGTTGGTTATATTTTTGGGATCTTAATTAGAGCTGAGCTAACTAAGCATGGTAGTGCTAACTTTATTGATTTATTTACTTAGAAATTTATACCCTGCTGTTCTACCCAGTGCAGCTTACAACATCATTCTCCCTTTCTCCATTTTATCCTCACACCTCTTTGACATAGATTAGACTGAAAGAATGTAACTGGTCCAAGGGCATCTAGGAAGTTTCTGTTGCAGCATGGGGATTGAAACCCATATCTCCCAGAGCCTAGTCTGACAGTGTAAGCACTACACCATACTGACTCCCCACATCAGGCCTGTGATAGCCTCTATTGTGGGAGGCAGAGCTCCTGAAGGATTTCATATTAAAATGATTCAGTGTACAAGAAACCATACTGATACACAGGTGACTGTTATAACATTGTATTAGTAAGCAAACATGCACTGTGGTTAAACTCTGTTCTTTATAAATATTCAAAACAAAATCTGGTGAACGTTCTGTAATGGCTTGTAGTGAGTCATGTAGCAGTTGACCTCTCTCACACACCAACCATTTCATGTGAACATTGTCAGTGTTACTGATGCTTATTGTCTAAGTCACTAACAAGCACTCCTCCTCTTGCCTTAATCAGGTAGCACATGTATTCTGTTTCTGCTTTTAACAATTTGTCTTCCCAAGTACTTTAATGTCCTGTCATTCTGATTAAGTTACAGCAGAGTTAAAGCTTTAAGACCTGCCTTCAGGTATAGAGAAACAGTGTCCCCCCCCCCATTATAGGTTGTTAAAAGTATTCTGTTATAGCCAGTTCAACAGCAGTATGTCTATATGTGCATAATCAGATCTGGTTTCAAAAACATTTTTTTAAAAAAAGAAGAAGCCTTAATTGAAACATATTAGGCACTGTGACATGTAGAGCATGCATAGCGTGCTTGAAATTTATTATGGGTTCTTTGCCATGATTTATGGGGCCTAGTTCAATGCTATGTTTGTTCCTTATGCAAATTTATATTTTTAGTAACTTGGTTAAAAATGACTGGGCAAGACGCCAGCGTCCATGAAAATAATGGAAAAAGGGAATACTATCTTTCATGCTGTAGCTGGGAAGGCTGCTGTGATATCTGACCAAAAGGTCTCTCTCCAGAGATGATACTTATGTCAAACTAAAAACAAACTCCTTAACTTGTTCGCCTACCAAAGCTGTGCTGTGTGAACTCATACCTTGATGTTTTGGGAGAGCCTTTAAGATGCTTTTGACTTTCAGCTTGTTATAGAAGGCTGTATTTTCTCACCAGACTTCTTGAGAGAACAGCTGCACCTGCTCAACGTACGCTCCACACATGTCATCCCCTCCAGCCCTGTTGATAACCTTGTCTGCTTTCTCTAATTTGGTGAGGCTTTTTCAGGCCACTCTCTGCTTTCTGCATCTGAAATTCTTTGGCAGTGCACACAGGCTCTCTGGTCGCTACTGCATGCTGCTGTTTGGAGAATTTTTATGCTGGTATAATATTTAACATGGCAAATATTTTCTCTCTTTGTGCCCTTGACCTGCCACAGGCATGTCAGCAGCAGTGACAGACTGGGAAAACCTTACCGAGGCGTGAAACCTGTTTTCAGCATTGGTGACGAAGAAGAATATGATACTGGTATAGTAGGAAACACTTCTGTCTTAAATCTAGTTTCTTTAAGCATGTTCCATGTCTCAAAGTGTATTTGGCTAAATTACCAAATACCTTACTGAAGACATGTTCTAACTACTACTGGAAACCTACACTGGAATTTAGCAGTCAAGGTAGAGGTGCTGGTCACTGGATTGTACTTGCCCTTGGGTAACGACCTTGTCATGTTACTACAAGATTTTGGAAACTTCCCGCTGGCAGAGAATAATTTCTCCCTCCATTCGTTTGCTAAGAGGTTTCTGCATATATGCCATAGAAACCAGTTGCATGTGTGGTCTCAGCATTGCCCCATGTGAACCGTGAGCCTGATCTTCCCTGAGCACACCCAGCTCCCTCTTGCATCTGCAAGTTGCAAGGGAAGATTTATAATAGGGGGGCTGCTTGCTACCAGTACTGATCTTTTCACTGAAATACTTATGATGAAGCATCTAATGAGCCCCAAAACAATATTTAAAAATATCTGCCATGCTGGAGTATAACCAAGCAGCCACTTTGGCATCCAGGATTGTTAGTACTGGCTTCTGTGAATGAGATGTGAAGGTTCAGGGGTCTGTCAACACTGCCAAGTCCTATATTGAATTGGTGAGGCAGCTAAGAACAGTCTGTTCACAAACCAGCCTTGTGATCTCCAGTCACGGAGGCATGGCAGCTGACTAGTCTCCCAGTTGCTATATTTAGAGTGGCTTTTAGGATTCAGCTGTATTGTATTGATTAGAATGCAAGATTATTTAGGACAGGAAGGCAGGATGGAAAAACTGAAGGGAGAAATGCCTTATTTGGGGAGCACCACCATCTCTTATCAGTTGCTGCCAGATCAATACTGTGTAATAGTAACTGGTACTCTTTAGTTTGAACTAAAAACCCTGTTGTGTGAATAATGCTGAAGCCTGAGTTAAGGAACGTCTGCCACTGTAAGCTTTTTGGTTTGGGACTGTGTTGTCTTTATGGTCACAACAAACATAATGGAATTCCTTCTCTTGATATGAGGAGGAAGGATTTCCTGTGCACCTTCTTTGATGTTGTTTACCCAGGACAGTCAAGCAATATAAATGGACAGACGGGGTCTGCATGCTAAGCCCTTAACATACATGCTGTATTTCTGTTAGAGCTACTGTCCCTTCAAAGCAAGGGGAAGCAACTCTTGTTGGCCCAGGTACTAAACAAAATCCCATTAACAGCTACCTCTGAAGATGTTGGTGTGCTGGCAAGCAACAAAAGAGGCAAACAAGGGTTGCACTTGGCTGGCTAGACACACTAGGGGCAAACTGAGTCCCAGGGATAGTTCTGAGTGAATTCAGGAGCTTGCCTTGGGTGGAGAGCCAATCCTGCGTGTTGAGCAAAATGGTCTGGCATGCTATTGCTTGGCATGCTTACTGGAAGTTGCCCTACCTCTGTTTCAAGACACAAACCATTTTGAGACCACAAGCAAAGAACCCAGGGTGGTGTGAGGATTCAAATACATGATAGTTTCAGAACTTTGCAATACATAGTACATCTCATTTTAAATTTTAATTAAGAATAGGTTGGATTCAATTTCTCCAGTTCAGTGTTCCTCTGGGAGAAGGAAATCATAGGATGCAGTTTAGCAGGAGGAAATCACCAGGTTGGATCCAATCCAATATGAAAATGATTTGCCAAATGTAGCAGCACTGTAAAAGCTCTTATGTGTTGTTGTGCCCATGTAACACTGATCCCTTTTCCCCCACAGATGAAATTGATAGCTCCTCGATGTCAGACGATGATCGAAAAGAGATTGTCAACATTCAGACTTGGATAAATAAACCAGATATAAAGCATCATTTCCCTTGCAATGAGGTGAAAGAAAACGGGTACATGTTTCCTAGGTATTGATGCACTAATATAATTTGGGGAGGGGCTGTGGCTCAGTGGTAGCACCTCTGACTGGCAGGCAGAATTTCCCAGGTTGAATCCCCAGCATCTCCAGGTGAAAGGATCTGGCAGTAGGTAATGTAAATGGCCTCTGCCTGAGACCCAGGAGAACTGCTGCCAGGCTGAGGAGATAGTACAGAGTAGACAATACTGACTTTGATGGACCAAGGGTCTGATTCAGTATAAGGCAGCTTCATGTGTTCATGAATACAAGAACACATAAAGTGGATGATTTAGCAAAGGCAGTGGTTGCTTTTTAGGTGACAAACATCGTAGGGCTTCGGGGATCTGTTTTTTCCCACTACAAGGGGATTTTTTTATGTTGTGTCCTTGGTGGAACTTTCCTGATTGTAAATGGGTTCAACACACTGGCTACGGTCCAGGAAGTAAGTCTTTGTGGAACTTGCTTTAGAATAAATGTTTAGCAGTGGGGCAACAATTGGCCTCACTGTTTGATGCCCAAGAAAAGCTATTTATGTATTTTTATTTAGATATACCCTGCTGTTCTCCCCAGTGGGGACCCAAAGCAGCTTATATAATTCTCCTTTATTTTATACTCACAGTAACCCTGTGAGGCAAGGTCACCCAGCAAGTGTCCCTGGCAGAGTGACAATTCAAAACTGGGTCTCCTAGATCCTAGCCAGAAACTCTAACCTAGGGTCCCCAGTATGGTACCCGTGAGTGCCATGACTCCTGCCAATACCTTTCCTGGTGCCTGCCAAGTGTTTTAGAAAGTCGGCAAAGCCAGTTTGGGCTTTTGCCCAGCAAGGCTTCTGGTTGGCCATTGGCGATTTAATTGGCCGTGCAGATTTTTAAAATGTCGCTTTGGCACCAACTGCCACCACAGCATAATAATCTCCACAGTGTGACTGAAGGTAAGGTGCAGTGGCCATTTTGTGGCTGGCTCTGCTTTCTGTGGTGGCTTTTTCTGGCAGCCATTTTGTGGCTGCACTCTTCATGTTGTACCAGAATTACAAATGTGCTCACAGGCTCAAAAGGATGGGGACCCCTGCTTTAAGCATTGAACAGTGTTAACTCTCAAAGTAGAAGCTTGCCAAGAGCGTAGTGACTGGGCCCTATTCTGTATTTAACATGCTGAATGATTAGGTGCAGTGCAGGGCTGGCTCTGCTTTCTGTGGTGTCGTTTTCTGGCAGCCATTTTGTGGCTTCACTCTTCATGCTGTACCAGAATTACAAATGTACTCACAGGCGCAAAAGTTTGGGGACCCCTGCTTTAAGCATTGAACAGTGTTAACTCTCAAAGTAGAAGCTTGCCAAGAGCGTAGTGACTGGGCCCTATTCTGTATTTAACATGCTGAATGATTAGGTGCAGTGCAGATTGTCACTGCTGTATGACTGAAGAAAGTAACATCACAGTAGTGATACCGGTTTAGGGACACCTTTTCGGGAGACCCTTCGGATTTGAATCTGTGTTAGAATCAGCGTAAGTAATCTTGGATGAAAAGGTGAAGTGGCAATATTCTGTCACAGACATAGCATCTAATTTCTGAAAGGAGTGTGTAAAAGTGATTAGAAGAGTATTTTAAAGCACAGTTAATACTATCGTATTTTCTGTTTTTCCCCATTTATGTTTGTTCTGACAAATAGTAGTGGCTCTTTTTCTGATTAGCATCTGTTTTTCTTTTCTTGAGTCATCTTCTAGTAACCGCAACACACATGTACTGTTTGCGGGAGATTCCATCTCGAAAGGGATTGGCTTACATACAGTCTCGACAGGCATTAAACTCTGTTGTTAAGATCACATCCAAGAAGAAACATCCTGAATTGATTACCTTTAAATATGGAAACAGCACCACTACAGGCATAGAGATCTTAGCAGTTGAGAGGTAAGACTCTGTCCTTTTTATTATTAAATTGGAGTTCATCTACACTCTACTGTCTCCAGTCATTTGCAGTGCCAGGTGCTCTAGGTTCAGCCATTGTGTTCGGGGACTTGTAACAAGCAATGAGGCACAAGCAGCCTATCATGCCACATTTAATCTTCTGACAAGCTTCATTTTGCCTTCTCTGACTTAAAATGTTTCTACACATTTCTGCAGTATTTAGGACATGGTCTTTATGCTCTGGAGTAGCGCTAATCAAGTTAGAGATGATTATGATGCAGAAACCTGATCTGCGATGTGTATATATGCTGGAGCTTTATGAAGTTCCCTTTCAGAAGCAGAAAACTATCCAGGGTGGTGGTTGGCTACTAAAACAACAAAGGTGTTGAAAGAATAGCTAAAGGAGGAAGCGAGGGACTGAATTTGTTGCACTGGTTGTTCCCACAGAAGAGGCTGGACATCTACATGCACTGGAATTGCTCTCTTCAGAGAGAGTATCTGAAGAGTTGAATCAAGTATAAGTTCATAAGTAACATTCTGGGATTAATTGAGAAGTTCAAAGCTAACAAATCACTGGGTCCAGAGGGCACACTCTTCAGGGTTCTTGGAGAAATGTGAAAGGGTTGAGGTCAACAAAAATATGAAACTTGTAACCAAAAGCAGCCTTTCCCACAGAGTACTGGAAAGTGGCAAACATATTGCTAATTTTTAAAAGGGGGTCTGAGAAGAGGGGAGGAGAGCCAGGAAATTATAATGCCTGTCCTGGGTAAATAGGTGGAAATGGTTATTAAAGACAGAATACATTCTACTGGGGGGAAATCATAGTTCCTGCAAAGCAAAGTCATGTCCTACCAAACTTCTTCAAGGATGCTAATAAGCATGTCAATAATGGTGAATTGGTAGACATTATATATTGAACTTATAGAAAAACTTTATGATAAAGTTCCTCACCAAAGGTTCTTGAATAAACCTGGCAGTTTCAGGATAACAGAATAGGTTTTCTGTATCTATTTAAATATCAGGAAGCAGGAGGTAAGAATAAATGGACAATTTTCACAGCGAAGTGAAGTTAGCTGTGCCCAGGGATCTGTATTAAAACTGGTGCTGTTTAATGTATTGATGGAATTGTGGGGGAGGACCAGCAAAGGGTCAAGTTGACTTTAGTGGACCTAGAAAGGAATAACTTTGCTCAAGATTGCACTGCAAATTGTTCCGCCAAAGTGTTGAGCTTTATGACTCAAGAATAACAACCGAGTTTCAGTGATGCACCCTGGGACACCCCCCCCCCCAGCTTTACATACACACTGGTGGAGTCTGAACTGGCAGTACTATGTTAATAAATGGTCTTTATTTTTTTGTTTCTTAAGGTACCTGATTCCAAATGCTGGTGATGCTACCAAAGCCATAAAGCAACAGATTATGAAAGTTCTGGATGCACTGGAAAGCTAATAAGAAAATTCATTTTCAACAGGGTTTTTTCCCCAAAAGAAAATTATAACCAGGAAAATGGTTCACTGACCTAAAATGACTGTTTTCTCAGCTGAATACTAACCGAAGATGTCATTTCAGTTTACTGATAGGTGTGCCGAGAAGCCGCCTTAAGATACAGATAAATTAAACCATTTTTGAACATTTAAAATTTTTCTTTAATGCTGCTTATTATAAAGATCAGCTATTTTAAAAGTAGCTTTAGAAGAGCTGACCTGCTTCTGAAGAAAAGGTTTTTGAAAAGTTGTATTAAGGCTATAGAGCACTTTGGCTTATGGAAAAGCATTTGAAATTCCTGAGCTCTTAGCTGACTTTGCAAATTGCAAAGTAGCAAATGTTTTTACAATCCTTATGCACTGAAAGTTCGGCTTGATCTGCTGGGTGAATATATGGGGTCAGAAACTAGAGTTCCATAAAAATTGTACTTTTTTCCTGGGAAAAAATTGGGAGCTAATCAAAAGAAATGTGTATTCTATCGAACAGGGAAAAAGACACTATATCTTTGTAAGTGATTTTTTAAACGCCTTCTGTGCATTATCAGGTTTAAAAAGACTGAACAATTCAGTTACTAAATTTTAAATACCAAACTAAAATGTGTATAGTAATGAAGAGCTCACAGGCAGTGGTTATTACTACTATAAAAACTAACATTTCCCTGAGCCAAGGTCAGTGTGGCAATAGAAATACAGCCAGAGGAGTGGGGTGTTTCATGAGATGGGATCTAGGAGGTAGCTTCAGTGACACACGTAAATGTATTCCTTTGGGATATCTTTTTCCTGAAATTGTGTGACACAGGCTGAAACATTATTGAATGCTAATAAAGCAAAGTGATCAGAGAGCTGCACATTTATGATCATTTAGGATGTGGCAAATGATTTTTTTTTCTTTCAAGACATGAAGATTGAGTGCATGTGTGTATTTATAGAATATCTTCAGTGTTAAAGAATTTAAACATTTTGCTACAGATCCATAGCTTTCACACAGCATTCAGATGTCTTGCTTAATTGTGATTAAGTAAAAATGGGCATGAACTTCACTTATTGCCAAGCTCATGCATCATGCGGCGGGCGCAGTTTGGCGCCCCTGAGGACCGGTGCGCTCTAGGCGAGTGCCTAGCTCGCCTAGCGGGCGAGCCGGCCCTGCGTGCATGCAGTTTACTCCACCCTTCTTGCACAAAGAATCAGTGTTAAAAACTATGGTTATCTGTGATGCATGAATTCAGGGGAGTAGTTAGGTCCCATCACTAACGGGGTTTCTTAAGATGAATCTCCCCCTTCCCCACAAACCAGGCTCCTCAATCAGGATTTAAACTAACTCCAGTTAAGCTACATAATGGAATTGGTTTAACTGTAGTTCGTCACATGAGGAGCACAAAGTGTGAACCAAGCAACCAGCTGAGTTTGTGCACATTTTCAGTTTACCACAGTAAAGGTAAGGCATCTGAATGCAGCAGTATTGACCAAAATATTTATCTCCTGTTTAAGATGAACTTAGGATCCTGGAGCAATGTTTATGTGTTGTCCTGAAAGACTGTAAACCCTTTTGGGGGAGGAGAAAAATCGGTTGAGGGAATCTGATGTGCTTTGCAACAGCTCAAGAGTTGTTCTATACCATATATGAAGCTGACCTTTATAACTATCAGCTCTCTTAAGTTATATTCTTAATAGTAATCAAGGCACCTTAATTCTGAAACTAACTCCCATATTTTCTAAAAAAAATCTAAATTAGAATGAGAAGTATTTTTTCATTAATTGCATTAACATTTTTTTTGCGTCGAGGACGCTGCCGTTTGCTGCGTGCTTTTCTTTTGATTTAGTTTTCCCATCTTCGGGGGGAAAAAACGATTGTTTCGTCGGGTAGATAGAGTTTTTTGGAGCCGGGATCAGGAGCCGATCTTTTAGGCGACCGCCATCAACGTCGCGTCGAAAATCTAAATTAGAATGAGAAGTATTTGAACATTAATTGCATGAACTGCACCTCTGCCAACGCTATTGTATTTAGTTCTGCCCTCCCCTCCAGCTGTTGTGTTACTTTTTTGTTTTCCTTTTTAAGAAAAGTAAAATCTCCTGAAGAGCCTCCAAATTGTGCCTACTTCGGCAGTGAGATTTTTTTCATAATGTTAATGTAAAGATGTTTGTGTTACTGTTTATAAACTGCAGTTGTAAATAAATCGATACTATTTGAGCACAGGTCCTTCTGATAAAAGATGTTTGATTTGACTCTTATTTCTAGAGATTTAAAAATATTTACAGCACTTCAAATTGGGTGGAGATTTTTTTGTACCTTGTTTAGATATAATAGACTAGCAGTAAAGTCCGTTGTGAAAGCAATACATATATAATCTTTGTTTTCCCCTCAAATGGCATGGCTCCGCCCCCAGCGTCCGACGTCACTTCTGGGTGACGCGGACGCGGGGTTTCCCCCGGGCCCCGATTCCGCGGGAGCGGGAATCGGGGCTCGAAACTGGGGGGAATTTTGCCCCCCGGGGGCATTTGGCAGCCCTATAGTGCAGGTACTTGCCGGTACCCCAGTGACTGCACACATTCAACCTATGCTTCATCAGCTACACTGGCTTCAGGTTGAGTACTGAATCCACTTCAAGGTGTTGGTTTTGGGTTATTTTTTGTATTTTTATGTATTTTTTAATATGTGCATGTGAGTGTGTGTGCACCTGAAAGTCATGGCGACCTCTGGTGACTGACCCCTATTTTGGGCCTGGAGGATATTGAGGGAGGTGGCTGAATAAAGCCTGCCCCTGCATCCCACCTCTGGTATTTCAAGGAGGTCTCCCATTCAAGTACTTGCCAGAGTCAACCCTGCTTAGCTTCTTTGGGGGCCCAATTGCCCAATCTTTTTGAAACTGGGGTTTTGAGTAGAGGCACCAGAAGCTACACTGAAATTTGGTGCCTCTGCCTCAAAAAACAGCCACCTCAGATCCCCGCATACCTCTGGATAGATTCCCAATTATAGCCTATGGGGATCATTGACTGTAATGGTCCCCATAGACTATAATGGAGCTGAAGGCATTTAAAGGTGTCACAATCCTTTTAAATACATTCATGAAGCTGCAGCTTCACCTGGAACAGTGTTTAAAGGGAGTGCACTCCTGTTAAATGCAATTTAACTCCGGCTATCCTGTTTTCCTGGATAATCTCACTTTTTTCCAGGATTCTTTGGGATTAGCTGTGCTCGATAGCCAAAAATACACCATCCTCAAGACCCTGCTGATATGAGCAAAACTGTCATGGCAGAGGATGGGGGAGAAGCAGTCCTGCAGATATGAGGGATCAAGGCCATGAATGGCTTTATATGTGATAGCCACTAGCATGAATTGAGCCTAGTAACTGATGGGCAGCCAATGGAATGACTGCAGAATGGGAGTAATATGCATGCTGTGCCTAACTCCTGTTACTAACTGAGCTGCAATATTCTATACCATCTGGAATCCCCGAGATGACTTACTGGGGAGACCTGTATACAGTACACTATAGTAGTCTTGTCTGAATGTTGCCATGGCATGGATCCAGGTGGTTATATTGGCTAGGTCAAGGTAGGGGGTCATTTTCTGAGCTAGTCTCTATTTGATTTTTTTGCAGCTACATTAACTTGCTTCTCCAGCAGTAATTTTGGCCGGTGTAATGTCCAGAATCATAACTGAGTCAGCAAGGGTCAGCTGGACCCCACTGAAAGCAGAGGGCATTATATCCTTTGAGATTTCCACCTTCCCAACTAACACTACCTCTGTCTTTCCAGGATTTAATTTCAATTTGTTCACTATGAGCCACTTAACCATGGCAGCCAGGCAGCAACTCAGGACCTCTACAGCATCACCAGGAGATTTGGATGAGGAGACACAGTGGTGGTGGAAAGTGCTGTCAAGCCACAGCTGATTTAGGGTTTTCAAGGCAAGAAATGTTCCAACATGGTTTGCCATTGCCTGCCTCTGTGTAGCAACCATGGACTTCCTTGGTGGTCTCCCTTCCAAGTACTGACCATGGCTGACCTCGCTTAGCTTCCGAGATCTGATGAGATAAGGCTAGTCTGGGCTATCTAGGTCAAGGCAAGAGGATAGAAAGCTGGGTATTGTAAGTATATTGATTATAGCCACCCCAACACTTCAAATGATATATTCTAAGGGTTTTACGTACAGATCGAAAAGCGTGGGGGATAGTACTGTGCCCCTGTGGAACCCCACAGGATGGGTCCCACAACGATGATGATTGGTCTCCAGTCCAGTCCAGCGCTCTCCCCCACGTGCTCCCTCCCTGGGCTCCAAGCAGCTGGGAAAAAACCATCAGAGTAGCCCAAGCGCAGGGGGAGCACTGCTTTGCCTCTCTTTGCATCTATCTCAGGGCAGCTTGTGTAGCAGCTAGACCCAAGCAGCATGGCAAAAGACAGAGCCAAGCTGGAGCCAAAAGGCTGCGCCACTCCAGGACCTCTTTCGGCACCCAAGAAAGAAAGTTGGGTGGAGAAGTGTGCGAGAGACACCTATGGAGGGAAGGGAGAGTCAGGCAGCTGGAAACAGGCAGGGGGAACGCCAGAGAGAGAGAAGGCGGCTGGGGAATGCTGGCTGCACTGGAGATCAGGGGAGAGGGCTTGAGGGAAGGGGGGCGCACAGGAGAAATAATTAAATTATCTAAATTGGCTAAGTGCCCCCCGAGAAATTTAAATGCCCCCTGACTTAGAAATTCCTGGCTATGGGTCTGACCAGAAGGAGTCTCAGAGCAGCTAAGAGAGCTCTCTCTCTCGAGAGAGAGCTGCCTTGAGAGAACAGCTCTGAAAAAACTTATGACTGACCCAAGGTCACACCAGCAGCTGCGTGGGGAATCAAACCCTGTTCTTCCAGATTAGTGTCCACACTCTTAACCACTATACCAAACAGCCCAGCCTGAAGCCAGAGTGAAAAGGGTCCAGACTCCAGAGCAGATGAGCTTTCCCAGTCACTGCCAGAAAGGCCAGATTAGTGACCATGTGATAATTGGCTACATCATTTTTTTGTAGTGAAGGTTTTTTTAAGTAGTGGATGGATAACCACCTCTTTGAGAGGTGAAGGGAAGTGTGACCTTTCATGTATTGGGCGCATCACAAGGCTGTTCAAGAAGTTATAAAATCTTGGGCTGATCCATGCAAGGTATCCTTAGCATGAATGCTGAAGTCTACCAGAACAATCAGTATAAGCATGTCCAACATGTGGTGTTCTATGTCAGTACTGCTTCTGGTTTCCAAGTAACAGGTGTCACTTTTAGCCTCCAATTGTGGTGGATCTTCTTCCACTCATTGAGTGCAATGACTGGACCTCAGTGACCTGCAGAGACCAAGAGCTTTTGTGTTCTTGCCGTTTGGCACAGCAGGCCTTTTTTTAAAGGTGCAGCAACTCCATATCTATTAAAAACATGGGGAAATACCCATTTTGCTTCGATGTTTGGTGCAGAACTAGCGATTAAGGGATGCACTTTGGATTGGTTTAAATCATTCCTTATGGGCAGGGCCCACAGTATTGCTGTTGGAGACCACTGTCATCTGTGTGAGACATGCCTAGCACTCTGTCCTCCTAACCCCCCTGCTAGTCAATCTCCATATAAAGCCCTTTGAGAAAATCGTTCTTGGTTTCAGAGTAGGTTGTCACCAATATGCTGATGACACCGAACTCTATATTTTCTTATCCAAATCACCTAGTGAACCAGTGCTGGGGTTAAACAGCTGAAGGTGGACAAGCTAAAACTGAATTGTCACTAGACAGAGATAACGTCGGCTGGGAAGGGTGGGATTTTGAGGCCAAGAACCTCGGTGTTATACTGGCTCCTCCCTTTAGAAGAGAAAAAAGCCAGAAGCCATGTAATACCTTTTATTATTACATTGCTTTGGTTTTGGCTTTTGCTGTGGCCACCTCCTCTACACCTGGAGGGGCCGGTCGGGGACAGGTCTGTTAAGCGTCTGGTCGGAGAAGGGAGTCGCTTCCCAAGCTCTTGTTGCCGACCGCCACACCAAGCCCCAGCGGTTTAAAAAAATAAAAATAAAATCTCTCACTGGCGCCACAAGCGTGATGATGTCAGTTCCGGAGAAGCAGATAAGCACTAGTGATTCCTAGAGCGACCGAAGATCCCGGAAGCAAATTCTCACACTTGTAATACGGCCCCCACTATGTCTCCGCCGGTTGCTAGGGGGAGGGGGGCTCTGTGTTGGCGATATTGAAATTCTTGATGGCTTTTCAGAAAATTTAGTTCCCTCTACAGGAAATGAAAGGTGGACGTGAATGTAGCAACTATGATTGCCCTCTCTGTTCAAGACTGGATCTACATTTGTGTGTTGTTTTTTTAACAGAAATTTTTAAAAAGCACCTTCCCCTGTCGAGGAACTCTGCTGTTGATGTGTTTGTTTTGGTCTAGCCCTAAAAACACAGAAACCTTAGCCGAAAGGACACACGCAAACATCCCCCCCCCCCCAATACTCTCCTTTAATCCTTCCCCTCTAAACAGAAACGCATGTATTTGCTTCGCCGTTCGGATGAACTACATTTCCCAGCAGCCCTTCACACTCCCAGTGAGCATGCGTGCCGCTCCTCCCCTTGCTGGTCTGTATTATCGGGGCGCTTGAGTTCGTGCCTGTAATGCAGCTGCTGAAGGGAGTCATGGCCAGTGAGTGTGTTTCTAGGAACGGCGGCATAGTGCTGCGGGGTTCTGCTAATAGTTTTTAAAGTCATCATTATTATTTTATAACCTTTTTTCCGAATGAAATAAATAAGTGGGGCTGGGCAATAAGTAGGGACCGTAAATTCTTTTTGTTGCTGTGAGGTGCTTCTGTCTGAAGTTCTGCTTTCGTTTTGGAAGTTTTCAGTTTAGTCGGGTTAACTCTGATTGTCTGACAGGTGGCTCACACGTGCGGGAGAATGAGAGATGGTGGTAAAATAGACTGTACCACTTCAGATGATGATGGTGTGGAGTCCAGCTTTGCCTTACAAAGAAAACTAAGAAAGTAACTTGTGCAGCAGAAACAAAGGTGCTACGGTGCCCTGTCTTTGCTTGCTGTACTGGCTTTCTATTTGTAGGGAGTATTTTAGAGGGGAGCATTACAAAACGTGATCCATCTTCATGATCATCCACCTGCAGGCTGAAGTGCTACAGTCCAGTCTACCCCTCCCCCTCCAAGCTCTACCGCCTCATTCTCTTGCGTGTGTGAACTTGGCATAAGTCTGTTGTTGGCCACCCTATTTTCTTTATGGTTTGACTTTTGTTCCCACAAATGTTCTCTATGAAATCTGTGCATAGTAGAGAGTACCTCTTTCAGGTATTTCCTCATTTCAACAGCAAAATCCGAACCTGAATGTGTGAATATTTTGTTGCCTAAATACAAATAAATAACCAAGAGAATGAAGAGTTCAGGATCTTTCACATTCTACAAGGCCCAAAGAGGCTCCATCGCATAATGCCTTATAACTATCTGAACTTGGTTTTTGTTTCTAGAATACTTCATTCCAATATTGGGAGCTTGGATTGCTTGGTTAAACCTCTGCATTCCATCAGTGGAACAAGACTTTCTTTAAAAAATTGCAGCCCAAAAGACAATAGCCCCCAGGAACAGAATGAACGGAATGAAGAGTGAGATGGTGAAAATCCCCCCTGCCCTTTTCTGTTTATAAAAAGTTCTCATGTGATCCCAATCCTTGTCAAGATGCCCAATTTGTAGCAGATTTCACTGAGTCTGTTTACCCACAGCTAATTTTATTTTGTTATAGTTGCTCCTGAATTGTTATAGAAAATGGTGTGGGGGGGAGTATTGTGTCTTCAATATATTTTACATTGCCTCAGCTCTCTCACATTGGTCATTGATATGAGAAAGCAAGCTGCAAAAAAGTCTTGAGAGTCTTCTGTCTAGACTGGGAAGTTGCTTGTTGGGAGTCTGTTACAGTGATGCTGCCCAAATTATCTGCTGTTTCCTGAGGAAGATAGTTTCCCCTATTTAGTCACACTATTTAGTTAACGATCATAAATATGACACATTGTCTTTAAATCCTTGACCCATAGCCTCAATGAACACATTTCTTGCAACACACCACCAGTGCTATTCCGGCATACTGTCAATGCTGGCCTTGAATGGCTTCCACTTGCTGTCTGTTTGGCCTGTCCTGTAGGCCCACCGTTCTGTTAGGCCTTTGGAGTAGCAAAGATGCAAGTTACTTTGCAGGATCCCCCCCCCTCCCCGCCCCATGCTGGCTCATTGTTTTCTTTTTCTTGTTTTAAGACTTCCGGATAGCACTTATCCAGCTTCAAGTATCTGCTGCCAAAACAGACAACCTGGACCGAGCCACTGGGCTTGTAAAGACTGCAGCTGCACAAGGAGCAAAACTTGTAGTTCTGCCAGTGAGTATTTGTGACATTTTTTTCCAACCATTTGTTCCACAAACCCATAAAAACGTTTTGGTTGTGATTCAGTCATGTTTTTAATTCGGTTTTTCTCCCTGGTTCAGTTAATTTCCCACAATAGGCTTTGAGATAATTGAGTTACAATTGTGTGAGATTTTTTTACATATTTCTAGCATAGATGGTGTATAGCACAATTTTCTTTACACAAATTGGGCATCCCATGATTCTTCACCATCTTCTGAGTCTGCCATGTTCATAGAAAGAGGCCAAGAGGTAAAAATAAGGCCAAAGCCAATGGTGTAAGTAAAAAAAGATATATTTTATTATCCAGTAAAAATTCCCTACTTATTTCACCAACAGGTTTGTTTGGTGCATCAGTGTTCAGTTACTGATCTTGTACTCGATGCAATATATTTTCTTCTTTTACTTGCATCATTGGCCTTGGCTTTAATTTTATCTCTCAATGATTGGTCTAGCCCTTTTATTTTCTCTATAGAAAGATGACACTATGGTTAAGATCTGACTTCACTAATGAGACAGTCCTATACAGAGTGATTCCTGTTTAAATCCATTGAAACCAATGGGCTTAGGTTGGAGTAACTTTATCTAGGATTGCACTGTAAATCACCTGAGACCCTTCACTATGCTGGCTCATGTAGTCTTGCTTACAAAGCATCTGATCCTCTGTGGGTGTTGGCAGTATGTGAAGCTTCCGCCTGTGTGAGGGACCACCAGTTACAGGGTTTCTCCTTGGGATTTTCCCCAAGTTGGGGAATCTCCTACTGAAGAATTTCCTACAAAGCATCCTCTCCCCAAGTCCACCCATCAAATGGGCTCCAGGGAAACCCAACTTCCATGGCCCTGGGAAAGAGCAACAGCAAAGATGGCTTTGTTGGTGTGGAAGAAGACTAGGGGAGGAAATTCTTACCATTTAAGCACCACCAACTCACAATCCCATATCATTAAAAGCTGCCCATAGCCACGGAACCAACACAGTGACCCTGGAATTTCCACAGAAAACCCTCCAAAAACGAAACCAACAACCCAAAGCCCAGAGCTGAACCCAATATTTCACTAAATATGTCTATAGAAAATAATACTGGGGAGTAAAGAAAAACAGGAATACACAAACAACATTAATTAATATAAAACCAGGCCCTAGAAACCTCCTTGCAGATGAATAACTCTCTGCTGAATGACATCAGGGCCCTGCAAGATTTGATGCAATTCCTCAGGGTCTGTAAGGCTGTTCCTCCAGGCTTTTAGTTGAGGACAGCAAAGGGAGGTTAGTTCTGGCACCTTCACTTTCTCTTCTATGGCTCCCATGAGCCCTGCCCTGCAGGACAGAGATGTGGCCGGCAATGGAGGATGATTATTCCATCTTGGATTGGTTTTAATTTATAATCTGTTGTTCTACTGTTGATAATTCTAATTATATGTCAATTGTATTTTAAATGGTTGTTGTTGTTGTTGTTCAGTTGCACAGTCGAATCCGACTCTTTGCGACCCTATGGACCACATCATGCCATGCCCTCCTGTTTTCCATCATGCTCCGGAGTTTGCTTAATTTCATGTTCGTTGCATCGATAACACTGTCTAACCATCTCATCCTTTGCCATCCCCGTCTTCTTTGACCTTCAGTCTTTCCCAGCATCAGGGTCTTCTCCAGTGAGTGTCCCCTTCTCATTTGGTGGCCAAAGTATTTGAGCTTCAGTTTCATTATCTGGCCTTCCAGGGAACAGTCAGGGTTGATTTCTTTTAGGATTGACTGATCTGAT